TCCACGCAGGTTCCTCTGTTTTTACAAGGCTGAGAGTCACATTCATTCTGCTTGAACTCACAAAAGATCCCATGAAAACCAGGACGGCAACGGCAAGAAAAGGTGTTGATGTCGTCGATACAAGTCCCATTATTAAGGCAGGAGCTATAGAAACAAACAAATATTTTAATTTGAAATAGTTTGAATTAAAAGTCACTTTCTACAGGAACTACAGCAGGTCATAAACATCACAACAAGCTTTTAAAGAATGATGCAGTAAAACAATTGTCTCACCTCTCTGTACATTCAAGGATGTTACGTTCACACAAGATTCCATTATAACCTGGTCGGCATTCGCACACAAAGCTGTTGACATGGTCCGTGCAGGTGGCACCATTCCTACAGGGCTGACTGGCGCACTCATCGACCTCAATCTCACAGCGATCCCCTTCAAAACCCGCTCGACAGTCACACGAAAAACTTCCAACATAATCCAAACATGAGCCTCCGTTCAGACAAGGGTCTAGAGAGAGTAGGTTAAAGAGAGAGAAAAAGTTAAATAGATCAAATTAGGACTGATGATTATTTTACCTAATCATTATAATGTATAATAAAATATATGGTGTGGAAAAAACACATTTTGTAAGCAATATGATAAAATGTTTAATTGGTTAAAGGGAAAACCTGAACTCTGTCTGTGGTGCTTGATGTTAAAACCATAGACTGTGATGACCTCAGGCCTTACTACAAGTGATCAGAATAAGCTGGAACTTACTGGGGGAGCAGTCGTCAATGTCTATCTGACAGTTGCGTCCACTGTATCCCTTTTGACACAGACACATGTAGCTGCCTTCGTTGTTAATGCAATGGCCACTGTTTTTGCAGGGATTCTTCCTGCATTCGTTCACGTCCTCTGTGCAACTTTGACCTTCAAACACAAATGCACTTACATTAGTACAAGGCCAATGTGACATTGGATAAAAACACAGAAAAGGATACAGTATCCCTGTCTAATATTTTGCCCATCTATATCCAAAAAAGGTAATCAGCACCACACGACATGTTTTAAATATAAGCATACCTTGCCAGCCAGTAGGACACCGGCAGGTGTAAGAGGTGTAGTCTAGGGATGGATGACACACTCCACCTTTCTTACATGGATGAGATGCACAAGGAGCCTTATCCACCTCACAGTTTTTACCTACAGGAAAAACAGTAAAATTACTTAACATTAGAATATCAAAAATATTCAGGAAGCTGTTGTGTATGATAATGGTTTTATGACTAACCAGTAAATGGCAGACTACACTGGCACGTGTAGCTGTTGACTCCATCTATACAGAAGCCATGATTACGGCAGGGATTAGATGCACATTCATCTATGTTCTTCTCACAGTTCACACCTGTTGACAGACAAAAGGTGTGACTTAGGTGTTCTTAGTTGTCAACAATCAACATGGCATTTTTAAATATTGGCGTTATACCTCTGAATCCAAGTGGACATTGACATGTGTAGCCATTGTGTCTGTCCAAACAACTGCCACCATTTAGACATGGGTTTGGTTGGCATTCATCCTTTTCCTCTTCACAGTGCTGTCCTACCCAGCCTGCTTCACAGTAACAGTAGTACCTGTAAACACGTGAAATCAATATGCAAATTGAAATCAAATGTGCATTCATTCTAATGTTCCAAGTGGAGCTATGTTTGTAAACAAGATTTTCATATCTTAGTGCTTGTGCCGACAAGTAAAGCAAATCTTCGTACAGAGGCAAATTTGGAAAAGTAAAGAGAAAAGAAAAAGAATAATAAAAGAATCCGTAATGGTGTTACAGTACAACTTATCTTATAGTTTAGGGCCATATATTTGTTTGCAAAAACACAATGTAAAGTTTGAATACGCCACATGCACATGGTTTTGATCAACCTACCCATGTTGCTGTTCAACACATTCTCCATGCACACAAGGCTGAGGAGCACAGTGGTCTGTCCCCGAAAGGCACAAGGGACCATGAGTGCTGGGTGGACACAGGCATTGAAATCCATTGACTCTGTCCAAACATGTCCCTCCACTCATACAGGGGTTGGAGTTACATTCGTTGATCTCTATGTCACATTTTGCTCCTATTAAAAGGTGAACATTTATTATTAATTGGTCAAGAAAGAATATTTGTTTTATTACAACACGTTATAAGTATTTTTGGATGTTACAACTTTTAGTGACACACACAGGATTTTAGCAAAACCTACCTGTGTATCCTGGGGAACACACACATTTGTACTCATTGATGCCGTCCTGGCACTCTCCATATTCACAGGGGTTGCTGGCACAGTCGTCTTCATTGTTCTCACAGTTGACTCCTGAGCACAAAATCACATTATTTCATTACATTGGTTTTAAGGGCCTCTCAAAGCAACCAGGCCAAAATACTGAAAGCTTAAAGCTACTGGCTGCGATGTCTATAATTAACCAGCAGGGGGGGTGCAACGCCATAAAAATCAGGTGAACCGTAACGTTCAGAACAAGAAACGGAAATGGAATCAAAAAGTAAGAAATGTACAAATCCGACATAGCATTTTTTTAAAACGTGTTTTTTTCTCTTGTTACATTATGAGCAGAAAAAAAACAACAGAGAGAGAGAGAGAGAGAGAGAGAAAGAAAACTAAATGAGGAAGACAAGGCACAGCATAGAAGGGGAAGTGAGGGCACGAAACCTGAAAGTGAGATCTGACTGAGACCTGACACCACTTCTGGTAAGGTGAGTATCATAAAGACTCAGTTACAGACCACAAAGTGATCAAATACACTTAAACTTGTCTATACAGCAGCATGGAGTGCCATCAGTTGACAGATACATAGTCACAGTTATCTGTAAACCTTACAGCAAGTTATAAATGTGGGTTCATAGAGGCCTGCATAAAAATCATGTTGGTTTGGGGGGAACAAAATGGAATCCTCCAGTCTTCCCTGTAATGTGTTCAAACCAACACATAGTACCAAATGTGAACAGATTTTTCATGATGGACTAACTGCATGTCACGTATTGTATGTAGGAGAGTTTTGCAATTTTACCATTTAAGAGCAAAATTTTCTTTGCAATTTTCAAAATCAAACATTTTAAATAAAAAAAACAAGTGACGCATTTTTTTTAACCTTCAGGCATATCAATTGCTGCACTTACAAAGAATCCCTTCTGAATTTACCCTTTACTAGTGGTTGCCACATCAGTAGTTCTTTTAATGATCTGGCAATTTTTTGCTATTTTTTATACTCTGTAAAGATACTGAATAAAGACTGACATTAAGTGTGGTTGGTACTATAGGGGAAAAACATAGCTATGTCTAGATCACATATATGCTAATTTAATAACACAACAGACGACTGAAGTTTTTTCTGATGCTAATTTTTTTCTTCAAGTCTCCATTGGACAGTATGTAATTTTAAAATGTTTTGAAGTTTTAGGTTAATTGTTAATCTGTGTGGTAACCATCGCAGCCAAACACCAACCAGAGCAAAGATTTGTTAAAACTAATTCCAACACGTTTAAGGGAAAGGTGTCTAATTGTAAAAGGTAGAAAATAAACATGTGTCTGTCACAATCTGGACTGCTATTGTAATGAAACCTTCTTCTTCCTCTACACTGTTACCTTTAAAGGTGATATTTTGATAACTTATCTATCTATCTAGACTTTTGGACCTTTGTTTTTGCTATGAATGTTAACATAATGCATTTATATAAAAAAATGTAATAAATTAAATAATAAACCAATTTCACTAAACAGACAACTCCAAAGCATTTTTGGTTTGTACCTTTAGTCCCTGGTGGGCAGTTGCATTGGTACGCGTTGACCAGGTCAATGCAGCGTCCTCTGTTCTGACAAGGGTTGCTGTGGCACTCCTTAACTTGGATGTTACAGATGGAGCCTGTATATCCTGGGTGGCAGTCACAGGAGTAGGTAGCAATACCATCGATACAGACGCCATGGTGACAAGGTTCTGGTATACAATCGTTGATGTTCTCCTTGCAGAGCTGACCAGTGAAACCTACGGGAGGGATTATTCTTAATAAGTAAAGTAAACAATATGATGCACAATGGTGTGTTGTTTTATTATACAACAGCACTGGTCAGAGGAAATTCTGAAAATAGCACTACTAAGTTAGTTCTTGTTTACCTTCGGCACATTCACAGTCATATCCATTGGGCCTGTCGATACACTTGGCACCATTTAAACAGGGTGTGCTGGAACACTCATCAATGTCTATCTGGCACATTTCACCACTAAAGCCTAAAAATCAGACAAAATCACAGAGTGAACCATCATGGAAATAAGAGATTAAAGATAGTATTGACCTTATGTAAGTCATACAAACCTGCCGGGCATTCGCACACAAAGCGGCTCACTTGGTCGAGACATTTACCCTGGTTCAAACAGGGGGAACTAAGGCATTCATCCATCTCTATTTCACAATGAGTCCCCTGAAATCCTGCACAGATTGAACAAAAGTTGCTGTTTTTTTTCTCATGACCAACAACAGTTATCTAAACAGTTTCATCGGTGAAGCTATTTCTCAAGAGAAATTAAAATTATTATTATATGTACAACCTGGACAGCAAAACATGAATATTGCAGACATTGTATGTACCAGGCATGCAAATGCAGGAATAGTCTCCAATGCGATCGAGGCAGGTGCCTTCATTCTGGCAGGGATTTGATGCACACTCATTGATATCTTGTTCACAGCGAGGCCCAGCATAACCTCTGACACAGTTACAAGAGAAGGAACCCTCAGTGTTCACACACTGACCACTATGTTCACAAGGGTTGGCACCTGAGGTAAACAACAAACAAAAGGTTTTACATGTGAACGGAAACAACCTGGAAATGTGTCTACTGAGGAGAGGTGGTTTCTGACCTATGATGCATTCATCTCTGTCTTGGTTGCAGGTGCTGCCTACATAACCAGGTGGGCAATTACAGTTGAAGTTGCCACTGACGGGATTGGTGTCACACTGAGCGCCCTCTCTACAGGGGTTACTGACACAGGCATCGTCGTTGTGGCAAAGCAAGCCTGAAAGAATAAGAAATTAGTCATTTTCAGCAAGTTTATTTTTATTAATAATATGATAAAAAGTCTTCGACTCTGTCACTATTTTGCTGGCTGAAAGTGGTTTGTTGAGTCTCTGACAATAAAGAATAGTTTGTTAGTGGTTTGAGGCTGTCTGCTGAAAGCACATGAATGAACATAGGCAACATCTGCAGTTTTCAAATACTTGCCAATACTTGGAAAGGTCTTGTATCAACTGTCTACATCTCTATTTTAATGTATTCCATGTGTTTTTCAGGTTGATACGTACATACTGAAAAGTGAACTTTTCTGTCTGTTTAGTGGAAGAGCATGCCAGACAAACAGACTTGGGAACGAAAAAAAAGGCTGTTCTTTGCAAAGGTTGTTGTCAGTACTAAATGTACTGACAAAGTACATTTAGTTTAAGGTTTGTATTAGGGATTAAATTATATTAGGGATTAAATTTAAGGTTGAAACTCATTACATGTTTACATGACCAGTCTTCAAACAAACTTGTGCAGGCGGCCCTTACAACACCCATATAAAACAATTTCCATTAGCACTTCTTAATTAATGTCAACAAGATTGCTGCTGTGTGTATTGGATCATGGGATTTTTAATCAGGTGAAATTTTTACAGATGCAGAGCACCACAGTGTCGTGGTACTCAGCTGCATCTGTAAAAACACAGTTTAGAAAGCTTTGCATGTCTTCATGGAAGATTCACCTTTCCTGCTGCTGCTGACTGTTTTATCAACTCTTCATTATTATAGACCTAAATACAGAAAACATGTTGCACCTTCCTTCTACAAGGCAAGGAAATATCAGCACACATTGTACTGATCATTCTTTGTTGTGCAGCATTTTGTTTGACTAACCATGAACCCTGAATGGATTTTTCCAATCTAGCCGATTTGCATTCAATAGAGGTCAAGAATGTGTGTGTATGATCACTTGCTTCTACAGTACAACTATGTCTGCCTGGGAAACCTGCTTTTTACTAACCTGTCTTTCCAAAAGGGCAGACACAGATGAAAGAGGCGACGCGGTCAATGCATGTAGAACCATGGCTGCAGGCAGCCGTGGCACAGTCATCAATGTTATCTGAGCAGTCTACTCCACTCCATCCATTGACACAAACACAGACGAAGCCACCTTGCATATTGTTGCATGTGCCACCATTCTGGCAAGTGTTCGGCTGAAGGCGACACTCATCCACATCCTCCATGCAGTGCTGGCCTGTACATGTCAGGCAAGTTGTGGAGAAGGGCAGAGAGGGGAAAAATCACAATTTAGTTTGATGGTAAATCCTTTTGGTTTGTGTTTCAGGTTAACCTCAACGTGCCGTAAGAAACACACTCCGAACAAAACCTACAAAAATTTCTTTCTAAAATAAAGATATAGTTAAGTTAAAGAGTCACATACTTTCCAATTATTTGAAAAAAAAAACTGCTTTCAAGAGTGACAAGTCTTTGTGTTAATTAATTTGTGAAACCAATCACATTAAATTTTTAACAAATGATGGGCACTGTATAACTAAGACCATCAAGTTATTTTTGTCTATTCCTAGTCGGTACACAAGTTATTTGCACATATGGTGGAGGGAAAAAATAATTTTACCTCCTAGCCTAATATATCATCTGAGCTCAGCGTTTGTGGCGTTAACTTTTGGTCATTTTCAATAATAATAATGCCATCATTTGGAATACTAATCACATCTAATCGTGATAATTTCCAATTAAAATTAATTGTGATTTACAGCTTCCATTTTATTAATCAGAGTATAACATTATTATTATTGTTGTTATTATTGCCAATTTAATATATAATTCAATATTCACAAACATGACAATTGTAGTTTTTGATGTAAAATTTTGCCAAACATTTCTAACTATCCAATAGATACAGTAGAAAGTAATGGCAGGTACTGCACAGTAAAACACACGCGTACTACTTACCAGTCCACTGTGGAGGGCACTGGCAGTTGTAAGTATTGACCCCATCCATACAGGTACCTCCATTCAAACACTGATGACCAGGACAGTCATCAATGTTGTTCTCACAGTTTGTCCCATTGAAACCTTAAAAGAAGCAGATACATCCATTACAAAACTGAGAAGAACACGTATAGAGTCACTGTACACTGCGGTAAGATGAAGTCAAAGAGCCGGTCATTGTCTCCAGTGTATAAACAGCTGCGTGTGTGTGTCTGATTGTTGTGTCTAGAGCAAACTGGAGTGAAGAGTGTGTTTAGTGCAACACAAACAGCAGGATCACACTGTTTGCACTGCAAACATAATGTCACTATTGAAAGACTCAAGTTGCAGAAATTCCAGTTACACTTGGACTCATTTTCTCCCCATTTCCTCACTTCCCCTTTTTTTTTCTAGTCACATTATGGGGGAGTGTTGACTTTCTTAAATGTGAACTGTTATTCTGTTATCTTTCTATCATAAAAACATGCATTCTCCTACCTGGAAGGCAGTGGCATGAATAGCTGGTTTCAGAAGTCTGGTGGCAGGTGCCTCCATTTAGGCATGGAGAAGGAGAGCACGGGATGTAAGAGCTTTCACAGTGTCTGCCCGTAAAACCCGGAGCACAGTTACACCTGTGTTGGTGAGAGTGTTTTAGATTGCACATCACATAGCCCTTAACACAGACATCAGATGTAGCAATTCAAGGCACATTATAAAGACAAAAGCCATTTTCCTAATTATGTTGAGACAATGTCCATTCTTACTTGTAGGAACCTGGGGTGTTGTCACATGTTCCCTCATTTTGGCATATGGAGGGTGTGGCAGCACATTCATTTGTGTCATTAAGGCAACGAGGACCGGTGTAGCCAGGAGGACAGGAACATGTGAAGCTACCAGCAGATGGAGAGCTACACTTTCCACCATTAGCACATGGGCTGGACAGACAGCTGTCTTCACGCTCACACTGTGGACCTGCAAAATGAGACAAGGCAGAGGATAAACATTATTAGAGCTTTAGCTATTTAGCTATAACTTTAGGCAGAACACACACAAAGCAAGTTTCAGAATCCTGCACGTAGGCCTGGATCTTGTCCATAACCTGGTATATAATATCTGTAGGTTTTGAGGTGCTGTTCCAATAACAGGCTTTTCACTATTAGCTTAATTAAATAACCACCCAAAAGGCAAACAAATTAAAAAGATACTGATCACAGGCATCAAAGCAAACTTTTAAAGGACACTGTGCCTCACCTGTCCAACCTCGAGCACACTCGCATCTATATTTGTCGAGGGATAGCAGGATACAGTTTCCTCGGTTGGCACAGGGGTTGTTGGGGTAGCACGTGGAGTTCTGTGGTGTTTGGCAGTGCTGGCCAGTAAAGCCCAGAGGGCAGGTACAGGTTGCACTGCCTGGTACAGGTACACCAGCCGACAATGACACTGAGCAGTTCCCTCCATTCAGGCAGAAACCAGGGTGACAAGGATCCTTATGTTGGCAGTACTCACCCAAGAAGCCGGGTAGACACCTAAAAACACACAACACAGATATGAGGAAGGACAAATGAAACATTTTATTAAAAAGGAAAAACATTAGTAATGCTGTGGGAGATGAAAATGTTTTTGCTTTCAGACATAACCGAAGTGACAGGCTACAATCATTTTTAACTTTTCAACTATAAAAATAATGCTTTAAAGGCTTTGATTCACTATGTTCCAGTGCTGAGAAAGTTTCATCATAAAACATTAAAAATATAAACACCTGATGCATACAATACAGTACATGTACATCGTAAACCGATTAATACATTTCACTTGACAGTAAACGAGCAGGTTAAAGATACAAACCAGAGAATGAGAATGAATAATGAATGAATAATCGTATGCACCTCTGAATACGTGTGAATTTTTAAATTTTGAAACTTCTAAAAAAACAAATCGTACGTAATCTTTTTTTCAGACATACTGCACTTAAAACTGGCTCATCCTAATTGGTTAAAATATTTATATATTTGTCAGTTCATAGTAGAGCAACATGGGAATTAAACCAACTCTACGGACGTCTTTAAAAGAGAAGCTATTGCCCCATTAACCATGTTCAGAGAAAAGGGGAAAATGGTTCTTGGGTTAAAGTGGGGTCAGTGACGACAAAGCAGAAGTTCCAAAGCAGAAGGTTGTGAGGTGGAGTCATCTGGAAGTTGTTGATTTAAGACTGGTAGAGACTTGAAGTTGAAAGCAGTTATTTTACACAAGTGACATTTTTTCCAAATATGGATGAGGAATCCTCATCCATGTTGGGATAAAATGTCACGTCCTGGATAGATTACTGAGAAAGAAAAGCTTATATACACATTTATTCACAAGCATCATGATCTTGATTTTATTTCTTTTTTATTAAGAGACAGTGATAAAGACAAATATAAGGGGAAAATGCCTGTATTAACAGTGTAAGGAAAACACAACTTGTTTCTTTGTGTTGTACTTTGTACTCTTTAAAAAAGAAAAACCTAAACCATTGGTTGCTGTATAGTTACAACAGCTCTCTCTTTTGTAGCGCATTAAAAAAATTCTGTTTTTAAAAACTGCTGGTGCTAGCACTTTTATTGTGAAACATTAAAGTCTATTGTTACATCACTCAAGAGAAAACTATATGTTGTTGAGCATATTCAAGATTGAATCATAATTTGTTTATAGGTTTATTAGGTAATGTAGGAACTTAAAGACAATGAGTGTGTGCAGTAAAAACTGAGATTTGTGCCTACGCACTCTCTCTGAATAAAAAAATCCCTTTGTCACTTTCTATTCCTTTGGATTTTCATGGGACCCTCCCACTTTCAGTTCTCTTGCATGAAACACTATTTGTTCAGATGTGCGTGTAAGTTAGCAAAAACGCATAAATTCTAGTTGTGTCCCATGTACCCTTTTTTGTTCCTACAGCCAGTGTGTGCGTACGTGTGTGTGTGTTTGTGTGGCACATGGCAGACACACTGTCTGGGGACTGTGTGCGACTGAGCGACTTGCTGCCTCTTAGCCAGGCCTCTAAACTCACCTCCCTAGAGGGGCTCAGGTAACCTAATAGGAGAACACAGCACAGTATTTCACTCCCTTCATTATCTCCCACTTGCTCACTCATGTACCCATGTTCACACACACACACAGACACACATACACAAACCTATAGCCTAACCATTTTTAAAAAAATTAAAAACAGAAATTTCACCAATGAACAGTCATACAGGATATAAGCTCAGACTAAACAGTCACATGAAATGGTAACAAAGCAGTGCAGATAGGGATTATAAAAGCTCAGACTGATGTTGACTCCACCCTACTGCAGCTTGAAGATATTAGGTTGTGAATCCATGGGAATGTAGCGAGGTCATAAATCTTAGTTTTACAGATCAATCACATCTGTGACAATTCAGCCTGGTATGATGTAGGTCATCTGCTGGCTCTCCGTGGAAACATAACATGCTGTCAAAATCTTACCGTAGCAAACACACGTGTACAATTTACTCATATGTATTGTATATGTACCATCTAATCTACATATCAACCATATAAAGTACATAAATGACCCTAAAGGTTGAATGTGTTGATCTTAATTATTGCAGTATGTTGATATTTATTATCCATGTGTGTGGGTGTGTTAACCTTCTGGCATAAAAGAAAAAGTTTTTAATGTGAAGAAATAAGCTGTTGAGTCACCAAATACACTGTGTGTCAATGCTGTGGCTTTTGGAATCATTTTAATTATTGCAGATGTTAACCACTTTTTTGCCTTTTTTTGAAACTGTTGATTGTTTTGGCAAAATTTCAATATTATGTTTTCAGTTAGCTAAAGGGAAAGTTCTACGAGTTTTTGTCATTTCTACTTAAAATCTAAGCAAAACACCTGATTATTAAATAAAAAAAGCAATATAATGGCAGCCTTTCTGTTCACTAAAACATTTTACGAAACCCTTCAACGTCAGCACATCTGCTCGGCTGAACCTTAAGGATTCTACCAAACAGATACATAAAAACAAAAACCTAAAGATGTTTACCTCCACTCTCTCAACCCAAACACAACTAGATCATGTTATCTCATTATAATGGCTAACTGTGTTAAATCTGCTGCTCTTTTGTTCTACCAGACAACACATTAGCTTCTCACTCCACAGTAATGACACGGTCCATTGCCCTGTGACATACATCACATTAGTGGCAAACCTGCAAGGAACAGCATGTCCAGGGCAATGCCAGGTTTGAATTTCACTGGGAACATTTCACACATTTTCACCCTTAAAACCATGGGTAATATGAGATGCATTCTCAGGTTAGGAATAACCTAAAATGCGCTCTAATTCTGTGCTTTGTTTATTTATCGGTGTAACGCTTAGCCTCTTGTGTTCCAAATAAACATGATATTGTTACATTTAGACTTTCTAGCAGGTCACATTTTCTGGCTAATATCAAAATGTGCCCTTTAGTGCTGTTTCCATCAACAACACAACAATAATAATCTACTGCTACTCGAATGGCAATGTACTGTGCATTTGATTTCAAATTTAAAAAGCCAGTACTAAATAACAACTAAATGCCACTGCATAATGATGATATCGCCCTCTCCTCCAGGTTTTACTGTCACACAGTTCATCATTAACCGCATGCTGAATCATACAACTCGGTGCTAACAGACAGACAAAGATAAGCATGAGTCACATTATTCTCAGAGAAGAGAATTTACCAGGAAGATATAAGTCAACACAAACAACATACTAACAAATACAATTACATCCAAGGAAGCACCCTTATTCCTCTGAGAGGTTTATGAACACTGAACACTAAAGAAAAGTTACCCAGATTGAGCATTAACTGCGAGTTTAGCTTAGCTTAGTCTACACCCACAGTCAGCACAGCACAGACGGCTTCTGAAACTAAAGTCATGTATGGGATCCTTTGTTTTGCTCCATGAGGACTTTTTTTCCCTCCTCTTTTCTTCGTCCTTCTTTTGCTCTGAGAAGTTTTCTGCAGCCCCCCTTTCCCTCGTTTCTCACTCCTCCACCTCTCATTTCTACCCCACTTTAGAGGTGTCAGGTTTCTACAGCTGGTTTACATTAGAGCCCCCTTCTCATGGACTCTGTCTTCCACCTCTTTTTCTGCTGCCCCCTCTCTTCTCTCCTATTTTTTCTCTCCTCCTCCTTAACCATTGTGTAATGACCGCTACACAAACTGTCTGCACTGGCTTCAAAAAGCCATGAGGGATGGGTTGATTTTCACTCACTCATGTAATGTACCTTACCGCCTCTGTTTTATTCCCTGTGTCCCAGGCTCTCAATTCAAGTGTCTTCTCCTACCTCTCCATATTACTTCCTTAACTGCAAACATACCAATGCCTCCTACCCCAGCTGCTTAATTACTTCATCATGCGTTCCCCCTGCAGCCATTGGAGGAAAACATTGAGAGAAGAAGAAAAAGTAGAGCATGAATCAGCTCACATTTCAACCGCTGGATCACTGTCTTGCTTGGCTGGTGTACAGGTAGCACAGTCACGGTACTGAGGCCCTACATGTGCACACTTGAAGGTGACAAATCTGGTTTAGGAAGACAATATTCTTGTCTGAATCGATCTTTTGATTTGATCTTTGTGATTAATGTGGTAGGCAATAATCAAAAGTTTTTCTTCAAGTATTCTTTCAGACGCAGGTGGAAGCAGCTGTTTTCAAAAACCACACTCACGTAGAGAAATATGTCAATTCCACATCAAAGCTTTTTTACCAATGCATGTTTTTTTAAATTCAAATTTCAAATGTGATTATTTTGTATAAGCTTACTCCTGTCAAGAAACTCAAGCTTTTTATTTTTGAAAGATCATTGCCATTCATTTTAAGCTAATAGTTAGGTGCACTAGAAAAGTAGCATTTCTACTCTACAAACTCAACAGTTTACAATTTCTGTTTCCATAAAAGCGGTGTACAAGATCTACTACTATTTTACTTCTTACTACAAGGATGATAATTGTGGTGGTTTTGGTTCTGGTGAATTGAATGAAAAATGAGTCTTGGCGAGTCTTGTCTCAGTAACCCCTAAGAATCTTTGGATAATTAAGGGAATTCATAAGAATGCATCAATTCACTAAATAAATGTATCTGTGGCTTTGAAATAATAAGACAAGTACAGACTTAGATCAAGGCTGCGCTTTCATACAAAACACTTTTTATATATAAAAGTGCCCATTGTGTGTTTTATTAGATATAATGAGGATGACTATGTATATATATATATTTGGTTTTTGTTTATATATATATATATATATATATATATATATAATTATTTATTGTGATTTTGTGAAGATAATCTTACATGATTTGCAGGGATGGAGACAGTGGCAACTACATGATAGTGGTGAACAAAAGCTAGGTTAGTAGTGATAGGGCTAAAAATCATCCTAATACAGGATTAGCTTTATATAAAACCGTGTGGCACCAGTAATCTTGAATCATAGAAGTAGGCTTTTCATTCTGTACTTAGCCCCAACCAGAGATTA